TTCGTTGGTTTTCCATTGAGGATAATCTGTAACGCTTGGGTGTTTTTAACAGCGTGCTTTGATGCAATCAACATAGCCTTGCATTTCTTGTGATTACTGATTAAACCGTTCTGATTCCACCATGTTGCTGTACTTTCTAGATCTTTGTTGACACATTTTTCTGCAGCACTTACATCTTTTGCGCTGGCGTGGATTTCTGTGTCGTCGACGTATAGTACTACGTCGCTATCTGTGCAAGTGTCGGTGGTACCGTTGATATGGATGTTGAATAATGTAGGTCCTAGAACCGAACCTTGCGGAACTCCGTGCGTGATTAGACGACGTTCGGACTCGACACTTCCGTATGACACGAATTGGTTTCTTCCCTGTAGGTAACTTTTGAACCATTCAAGTTCATTTCCAGTGACACCGTTTTTTGACAGTTTACTGATCAAGATGTTGTGTTCAATTACGTCGAAAGCTTTTCTTAGGTCTAAGTAAGTACAGACGACTTTTTCACCCCTGTCAATGGCGAATTTCCATGAATCAACGGCTACGATGAGCGCAACTGTGGTAGACGAGTACCTGGCATATGCAAATTGATGGTCAGTGATGAGGCCGGTGTCTACTGTAAAACCTTGAAGATCAGTGTTGGCAAACGATTCAAGCACTTTTGAGATACAGGGAAGAATGAAAATTGGTCTGTAATTATCACGTTCGGTCTGGAGCCCCCCTTTAAACAAGGGAGTTACTCTTGCCGTTTTCCAAATGGACGGAAACCGGCCGCTTCTCAAAGATGTATTGAATAACTTAGCTACAACATTGCTGATGTATGGTGCAGCAGTCCCGATGACTTTAGCTGGAATGGTGTCTGCATTTGTGGCCTTTGATATGTCCATGGTGTTTCCTTACTCGGAACTGGTTCGTAGAGCCTTGAAAACGTCGTTTTCACTCACGGCGCGAAAATTGAAGCTGTGACTGGGAAACCCTAAAGGGCCCATCTCTTGTTTTGACAGTTTACTGATCAAGATGTTGTGTTCAATTACGTCGAAAGCTTTTCTTAGGTCTAAGAAAGTACAGACGACTTTTTCATCCCTATCAATGGCGAATTTCCATGAAACAACGGCTACGATGAGCGCAACTGTAACTTCGAGTAATCCAGGGAAAAATCGTCCAGCACTGAGAAACTGCCCTTAGGTTTCCAAGGATCGGTAATAATAAATCAACCTAGAAAAATGGCAGAAAATTGCCTTTCATTAATAAACGCCGGGGGCGTTTAATCGAGAAAATACGGTATTTAAATTCAAGTGCAGATGGAACCACCTGATCTCGGTTGTATACTCCGAACATACCTTCTGTACGAAGCGTTGTAACAGAAGTGAACTAGAACTCATTTAGTCTACTTTCAAGACCATGTTCTCTTAGAAGACCTTCTATGCTTCTCTTCCCTTCTGAGGATATCCTTGTATTCTCCATGGTTTTCGTTGCAGGGGTACCATACTTTCCTATGCTGGCGGTCTTCTTTCCCGGTAACCTTTCAGTGGTTCTTTGCTCCAACGCTTTAATCTTTGACGGGTAATCCATAGCCTGACCTTACATTTGTAAATTTCTCCAAGTCTCTTTTCAGTTAAACCGTAAGCTTCGTGGCCGTTGCGGAGGGTCTCCATTCAATTCTGTAACTCTTGCGTTGGTGTGCATAGACAAAGCCTGCCACCATCAGCAATAAAACACGCCGACCCAACACTCCAAAGTCTACTGACACATGAAAGCTTTGATGAAGCAGCTGGTCCGTCTCCATTACTGCGAGTTGGGTGTGTGCGATGACCAGCCACTTCCAATACAGCTGACCAATTTCTGCCATCTCTGCTCGCATTTAGTGTCGCTTTCATTTTGTACAGCTTTCATTTTGTATAGCACGCTAGCGCTTGATGCAAGGAAAATGGCACTCCAAACCCCTTGAAAAGATGACACATGTGTTTGCGATACCTCTTTGGGACAATTGACAACTAACACTCCGTCCCCGTTTTTGGCAAAAAGAACAAGAGTGTTTTCATTTACACAAGATTTCATGCCAAACTTACTGAGTTTAACAAAAATAATAACGTGAAATAAAAATTCCTTCGATGTCCCGATTTTTTTCTGCAATCTCCCGGAATTATCGCATGTTTCCCGGTAGCATTTCCAAGTGTCCCGATTCCCGGAGAAATCTCTAGATTCCCGGAACAATTTTGGCTTTGTCCCGAAACAGCGTTTGTTAGAGTTGTCACCCCCCTTAAACAGGGGCGAAATAGCAGTGGATGTCAAGTCACATTTGTGCCTGTGGTCAAATTTGTTGGGAGCCATTGGGTTCGAATTATGTTTGGAGCAGTTTAAAACAACCTTGACAAGGGGCAGTTGAAAGCAGGGCTTCGAATATCAAGCGAGCAGTTCTGCTTGGTAACAGTTTCGTCGACTTATTGAGGCAACAATCACCTCACTCGAAGTAGTTCCAAATAGATTTAAAATAAAATAGTACTTAGTCAAATACTTCTCGGGTTTTAAGAGGAGAGAAACTTGCTATAAGGAAAATGTCTGCCGCATATCTTTCACGACTTGTTTTACTTCTAGATCTCTTGTCGTCCAGCAATAGAGAACTGGGTTTAAAGCTGAGTGAAAATGTATAAAAGTAGCTAAACAGATCCAAACTAAAAGAAGAATCGGTTTGAGTCCTTTGGTGGCTGCCAATGTGATCATTACAATCTCGTGCAGGCAACAAGAAATTAATGAAAACTGTATCCACGGTGCACTGGATACTGTTTTTTTGTATCGTGCTGTGTTCAGTCCTTGATGAATTGTTCCATGCACTAGCCCCTACTGTCGCCAGAGTTTTCGCCGGATAGATTTTAAGGAAACTGAAAGTTGAGACTGTAATACTCAGTAAGATAAGAAAACAACGGTAAAGTAACGAAGCTCTGTACTCGATCTCGAGGGAAAGTCGGAAGCTTGTAGTATTGACTGCTTCCTCCGTAAGGAAACAAAAATATGCCGCGCATGACAGGAGGCACAATTTTCAGGTCAAATCTACTGCCTCTTGACTTCTACAAAGGTACTAATGATAATGACGCTTTAGCAAAGGGTCAGCCAATTCTAAAAAACGATCCAAACTGTGAGGAAAATTGTTAGGGAGATCTTGGGAGTAACTTAGTGTAGATCAAATTATCTGTGATTGCATCATGTACCAAGAGGTTCTCTCATATGTACCTATTAGATACAAATTACAACTTTGTCACCACAGTTCATGATTTCGTAAAATGGCTGCTCTAATATTTTGGATAGTACATTATTTCGAAACAGGCAAAGGTGTAAATATTTAAAAAATTAACTCATTTATCCACAACTCGAAAGATGTCTAAAAGTATTTGTTATCCTGAAACGAGTGAAGAAGGGCATGGATATGTAAAACTGACAAGTTACTTCAAAGATTGACGTGTTTTAACCTTCCGGTAACACCAAAGTTGAAACTTGGTATTTAGCTGATGCTTGGAGCTGTTCTAAAAGTCATGAAATAGCTCTTCAAGTCTGCGAAAAATGACGCAAGATCGCATGACCATAAAGTTTAATATTAACCTTGCAATTTTATAAAGTGTTCAGTGAATATATTGATTAAGAAGACCACGTAAAATGTTATTCTCGCATAATGTGTCATAGACGTGGCTGTAACACTATTCAATCTAAAAGAAAAACTATCGTTGTCACGAGTCATTTCATTTTCATTGGTGTAAATTCACGAAACTGAATTCCACGGAAGACAAAGTTTCAAACTTAATATGCATGAAACTTATTGGATGTTAATTCACCTCAATTTTCTTATCTATCACGGCAGGTTTATTAATGATTCCACTTATTCTATTTAACACCGAGTAATATTAAATTTGTTGTTTCCTCATGTTGGTTTAGATTGTCAGCAAGTTTTTAATGATTCCATTTATTCGATTTAACACCAAGTAAACTTGCGAAGATCGGCTGCAAGTTATGATTGATTTTCCCTCTAAGATCGCGAGTTTAGCTGAAAACCCGTCAGCAGATCCATGATCGTTACCAGGCATAGTGATTCGTAAAGGGAAGTCCAAAGGCGTATGACCCTCAACTGCGTGATAAACGCCAGTTAAATGAGTCAGTAAGTGTCTCCGGATGTCTTATTTTAAGGAATATCCATTCACATTGATGTGCAGACGACAAGCAAGCGCTTTGCATGGTGTGACATTGTTATTAGCAATAACCGTCTCTACCGGCAGTCAATGCAAAACTGATGGTGAAGAAGCCCTTATTTCGTCTGTCATCTGTAAAGACAGGTTTAGAGAACGTAATCTGATACGACAGTCACCACGCCTGTGAATGGTAACCGATTGTCACAACGAATGGATGGACCGGAATGGTCACGCACGTGTACCATAGCCTGCCTGACATCCATATACTTCTAATAGAAACCAGGAGGCTTGTTCTCGATTGTGACCTCTTTTCAACTGAGCACATCGACGCATTTTCCACAAGTGGACTAAAAAGCGACCTCGTTGCAACCCTATCAATTTGTTGGTACAGGTCTTCTATTCGGTTGAATGAAAGTTTCTTTTTTATTTTTGTTTTTTTTGTATCTATCCTCCCTTGCAAATCAGTTTGGAGAGAACAGCGAAACTTCTATCTACCCTCGAGCTGGTTGCATTTCAATTGTAAAAAGCATAGATCTATGTAAGTTCTCATGGTTGCATTTACAAAAGCTCGAAGCTTTTAAGCTCGACCATTAATTACGAAAAAAGAAGGTATCATTAATTTTTTTTTGTGATTTGTTTATTTTAGTAAAGTTTGTTTTTATTTTTTATAGTACACAGCCTTTTCACGGGTTCCATTCGAGTGAAGTTATTGACCAAAGTTTGCTGAGATAAAAGGGCACTCAAATAAATCTCCTTTGAAGCCATTCTCCTCTAAAAAAAAAGGAGGGGGTGATTACTACAATGACAAAACCCATATCAAAGACCAACAAAAAG